TCCGCGACCGTGCCTCTCGAACGGTGGCAGGTGGGGTGGCGGCCCACCCTCAAAGGGAGGACGCGCCTTAGACTCAGCGAGAAAACAAACATCTTGCATGAGTCCAATGCACTGCAGCCTAACGTAGGACACCGTCCGAAATCAACCCCAACCAAAACCCCAAAAAACCCAAGCTGCCCACGCTTAAAAACTTCTTTCACGCATGCAGGTCTGCAAAATGCTTGCAGACCAATTCAGTCTGTGCCTGGGCTCCTCACGCCTGGCGGCATATCGAAGGGCGGGCGCCGCGCATCCAACCTCAGCATACCGATAGCTTGAGAGACTTGGATGCTTTGGGATGGCTGACGCTGGTTGTGTGGAGGGAGCCGTTCATATGGCGATGCATAAGATACAAGGCAACCTGACTAAACTGGTCACATCTGCCTGGTGCTTGTTCCAATTTGTCTAGAACATGAGCAGGGGATTGTGCAGGCCTTCAATTGCAAAGCTCGTCAGTTGTTGGCCTCAAGCAGAAAATGGAGGCTTAGAGGAGGGAAGCACTCCCCCCCCCCCCCCCCGGCAGCTTGCAACACATCGCCATGCAGGTTCTTGCCAGGTGTTGATATGATACACCCATTATGTCTCACGCTTACAGCAGTTTTGCAGTGGAGGCATCCTTTTCTGTTGGTCTTCTGGTCCGCTGCTCCTCTGCTCCCTCGTCCATATTCTGCAAACTGACACCGGATGAACGCATCAAGCGCAAGCATCTGAACTTCTCTGTGCTCTGCATCCCCCTCCTGTATTGCTTGGGACACGTGATGCCAGGCAAATCAGGTCGAAGGTGAAGAAGAACTCATGCTTGTTAGTTTTTTTTTGCAAAAGGCAAGTTTCCGAATCGGCTGCACTTTACACAGCTCCCAATGGAAGGACCTGGACTTGGGTCTTCCAAAGTGTGTTTGCTTACAGGCGCCCAGCACCTGTTTCGCACGGAGGATCAGGCTCGGGTTCGCTTTGAGAGTTCGCACTTTCAGATTGGTGCTGCCCAGCTTGTCCGGAGACGGCCTCCGAAGTCCGGCCTGACCCCGGAAGCTTGACCCACGAAGGCACCACTCTGAATCCCAGTCTGAAGGATCCCATCATGTCCGACACCTAAAAGGCGAAACCTAAACTGCAGACCTTCGGGTGTTCGACCGGTTTCTGGTGTCGCGAGGCCACCCGAAGCCCAAAACAGCGGAACCGCCGTAACCCTTCACATGGAGCTCGAGCCCGAGTGAAGCACCATCCAGGCGGGGGCCGCTCGAAGGGAGGCCTCACCAAGACAGAACTTAACGATCTACTTATCAAGATTAGCATTCCTACTACTATTTACTATCTACTACTACAGGTAGATGATATCACTTTCGCTCTGGCTCTCACTCAAGTTTCTTATTTCTGGGAAGTTCCCTAAACCCTATACCCTGCCCCATGGCTTTCCAGGACCCGGAGGCGGAGATCGCAGAACTCTTTCCTACAGAGAAAACCTGACAGCACTGTAAATCCTCATAATTCCAGCATTTACACTGATCATGTTGCTGCTGGTACTACCCGTACTTCTTGTGCCGGAGGACGCCTGGCACTGATCTACAATTGATACTGCTGGTGATATTGCGACAAGCAGTAAGTACCAACTCCGCCGCGTTTTCAGTCACCTGACTCTTACTACTTACTATATCCATACGTGCTGTTGATCTGATTGTGGCCACTGCTGCTCAGCCTGCTGCAGATCCCCCAGCTTTCGCCCTGTTCCCTAACCCGTTAGCCGCGATGAGATCCCAGGGCACCGATACGGCGGAGGAGGCCCGCCCATGAAGGGTGGCGGCGGCCTGGGAGCCAAAGGCCGAGATCCAAAGTGGTGCTCAAAGTTTCAGGTAGGTCTTTTCAAGCGTGGCTGTCAGACATTGAGCTGAGCATGTTACTGCTGCAGGCTGCAGAGTTCATGAAGTTCATGCATCAACGTTTTCGGAGGGACAGTCCGCTGTTCCAGGTTTTGCAGACCTGCATGGTTTAATTCCTCCATGCTTATTTGGGAAGTCCTTCGAAATGAACATGCGCGTGCCGCATCCTGAATGGCTCACGGGCAAACTGCGGGGATGCGCAATGGTATGAAGCTGTTCACGGTATTGGTCTGGGAAGGGCTTCGTTCGGGCACACTCACGGGGGTCACGGCCTCGCCCCGTTTCACTCCGAAATCTCAATAATCTGAATGGCCGTTCCAAAGCCAACGAACAGCCAAGGAATCGAAGGGGTCAAGGCTGTTAGTCCAGCAGTGAGCTGAGCCGAGGGCCCTCTGCCATCAAAATGCGGGGGTGGCCCCGGACCTTCCAACATGCTTGCATCATGTCTCCGGGTTCAACGTTGGTTTTCATGGGCCTGTAAAGCAATGCTCGAATACTGAACAACATCGGGCTCGTGAACCAACCAGTTCACTTGCCTGATCCCGAAAACCGGTATTGAAGCCGAACACACTCGACGTGTCTGGCACTGAAAACAGAGTAGTCACCGCTTCTGACTTTGTTGGCTTGTGAACATCTTGCAAGTGTTGAGGCTTCAAGCCAACATAGAATCAGTAACCCGTGACAACCTCAGCGTCCGCTCGGGTTTTGCAGTCGCTCCGTCATGCGCTGTTTATCTCCGGTCTCATTGCCTGGTTAGGAAGGATCTCGAAATGCTGCGAACCCGAAACCAAGCAAGCGCTCTGCGGAGGTCGAGGGCGTCGCCATAATCGAAGGGTGGCCTTTCGCTCACGTCCGAATTGCTTGAGACTTCAGGCGTTCCATGTTCGGGAACTTGGAGCATGGAATGGCAACAGGATCAATAAGAGGTTGCAGTTGTTTGGCTTCTGGATCCGTCACGGCTTCGAGCTTTGTGTCTCCATCGTGGTTCGACATTCCTACTGCACACCGACGAGACTTCCGCTGGATCCTTCAATCGCCCTTTGCACAAATGGTTCATTGCATTGTGTTCACGTGTGTGTGCTCTCTCTCTCTCTCTCTCTGTCTCGCTCTTCCTCTAGATCTCCCCCAGTCTCTTTCTCTCTCTCTCTCTCTCTTTTTCGCCAGGGCTACGGTGAGAGGGTAGTCCACACCGCTTGCGTTAGCGAGCCCGACTGTTGTGGGGCGACGAGTGAATTTGACGCTCTCCACAAAGGCGGGGACTTCCGCTGAACGACGGTCAAACCGAAGGTAGAAGGCAAACCGAACGAGAAAATCAATGTCTGTGCACTCTAGCAAAGCCGCGGGCCTCAAAAAGGAAGGTTGACTATCAGACCGAGGAAAAGGCAGCAAAAGGACATATGGCCTCTCAAACGGCTGTACTCCAGGGGCACACCTCTGCCAGAGATTTGCTGTGTTTTCCCGCTCAGTGACTGTATTCCAACATGGTACAGCGATACGCCATCAGCATGGCAAAATGTTATGGCCGGGCCTTCACAAGGGCAGCAAAAGACAACATTCACAAATAACACGATCCCTCACCGTATTGAGCCTCGGCATTGGAAATATTATCTGTATAGCGGGAAGGGGACTTCGCGGGAAGCAAAAATAGCTAGGAGTGGGGCGCTGGACAAAAGCGCAACAAGCATGTCATCGTGGGTCATTCCCTGTTGACCTTGCGGCTGAAGCAAAGGTGAGACTCGGTATCCTGTTCGTATCGACGAGAAGAGGGGGCCTAGGGGGAGCAGGAAGCGAAGCCCAGTGCAAGAAAGGGGGGAGCCCCCTACTGTCATTTTACCCAGCTGTCATGCACTCAGTTGTCCTCGCTATAGTTGGAAGCCAATTCGTGGTTTTGGTCCAAGGCTGCACGCATTCTGCCCCCCCCCCCCCCGGAGTCGCCGTTGGTTTTGGGCTGTTAGTAGACGGCTCGAGCTGGCCGAACCGGGCTGTCAACAAAGGCTGGCGCTGTCTCGCCTATGAAGCCGATAGAGGCGAGGGGTTCCCCCCTAGATTGGAGACGTTCGCCGAGCCCTCCACTTGTCCCCATAGTGCAGACTTCCTGTATCATAGCAGCTGCATTTTGTTCCAGGAAAGGCATCAGCCCTTCAAGAATTTGTTGTGCCGTAGAACCTGAAAAGGGATCGAGTCCCGTTGGTGTCCACTTTGCGGTGGCAAAGGATGCCTTTGCGCCAGATCTTGTAGTAGAGGGCGAGGACGGTCGTGGATTGCAGGGGCACTTGGGCGTTCACGTACTGCATCATGTAGCTGTGGAGACGTGGCCGGGGCGTCCCCGTTGTACTGAGGCACAGGGTTGCTTCCGCTGCTCTTTCGTCCACAGCTTCTTCGGGGACGGGCTCCCCTCTCGCTCTCTCTCTCTCTCTCCCTCCCTCCCTCCCTCCCTACCTCCCTCCCTCCCCCTCCCACTCCATCTCTGTCTCCGTGCATCGACAAATCGAGATTGCGTTCGGGGTTTCTTGGTTTGTGGACTTGAAACATACCTTGAAGAGACTTACAGAGCCGATGAGCCCGAAGAGGCCTATGTCCTGGCGGAATTGGCGGACCATGCATCTCGGCGCCCGGAGGCAAGACCTGGGCGGCGGCACAGCTCTAGGACACCGTGCTTCAGGAATTCAGATTGGGCAGTTGGAGTGCTTTCCAACCTGTAACTGTAATAGCTCGTGTGGTTGGGAGCTACATTCTAAGAAAGGCAGCGTTGGCCAGTGAAACCTCTTCGGTACGCTCTCCTTGATTCACAAGTTGGACGGCTTGAAGATTGTGCCGTCAGCTTCAGCTTCCTTTACCTCGCACACCCGATGGGAATTCTACAGTTGGCAGCAGCTTTGCAGGGCAGCTGACCTTGACATCCTGAAAAACTCGGCGTCCTAATCCAGGGGACCTCAACACGCGGAGATCGAACCATCGTCCCACCACCCCCGCCCCCCATCCCTCCCCGACACCCAGCAAAACCTGGAGCTTGAAGCGCAAAGCAGCAGCTCTTTCTCCGGCAAATCCTGACCCGTCTGAACTTCCACCTCACAGCGCCGAAGCTGCTCACTCCTCGTCATCCTGCGGCTAAGACTGGAAAGGTCGCTGTTCTTAATTTTCGGAAGCAACCATACCCACGCATGAAACGAACCCTATACTCGGGGCTCCATTCCAGGTACGAGGCTCTGAAACTTTGCCATCATGTCTTCCAGTCAGTGTTGTTTGGGGATGCTCTTTTATCGGGTCTCGCTGCCAGGGCTTTCAATCTATGAGCCTCTAAAGCAAAGGCTGAGGGATTCTCAAGCCAAAAGATGGCACAGGCCTCTGCCCTTATCATTACTCCGGAAAGCTTGTCTGAGATCCCAATTCCTCAGACCCGAGCCGCACACAGTAGCCTTCAAGCGCCGAGCCGAGATCTTCCGTGCAACACTAAACAACAAGCTTCCAGCTTCCTGAAGCACCCACGCCGGCATCGTCGATATCAAACCACCGATATCGCGCATCCTCGAACCCTGAAACGAGCAAGATCTAGCCCACGCGCAGGCCACCCGAGAGCAATCCTCGCCACCCTCTGCCTCCTTCTTCTCGGCGGCCTACAAGAGCTGTGCAGGCGTGGGGCAGGGAGATGCTGCGCGGCGTAATGTCCCCAAGATCGAGAGCGCAGGGTGAGCAGCTAGATGAATGCGTCGAACTATGCCAAGTGTCTCAGCATGGCAACGTATTGTCAAATGCTTTTACGGCTTCGGTAGAGCTTCTCTGAAGCTTGTCGCTTTCGCGTTCGCCCTAGAAGGATAGGCTGACTCCGCCCGATACCACATTCCCAGGTCCTCTTGGGTTGGCCAGTCGCAATCGAAACAAACCACCCCGCGAGGCCTTCTTGGCAGCATCTGCTGCTGCGCGGGCTTCGAACGCCTTCATGAGGGTCTTGTAGAAAGTGTCGTCACCTGGGCAATCGAAAATCAAGTGCAAAGCAGATGCAAGCACTAGACAACTGCCAAGTTCTCACAGGAGGTCTGCACTACTATTGATCCAAGCTGAAATGACATGAACATCATCCGGGATCTAAAGGATCTGAACCCCACCACAAACCCTGTGCTCGGAGTCCTGGTGTCCACAGTCTACACGGAGATTTGCGAGAGTGTGCGGCAGTGTAACAGTGTAACTCCTTGTCCAACGACTTCCCTGCTAGTTACAACCTCATCTCCCTTTACCTCGCAACTTGGAATTACAAGATTAACAATAGCAAATCCTGTGTCCGAAAGTATTCAGGCCATCACTTGCCGGACTTTGAACTCTGAGGGCTCTTACACCCTGAGGCACCGCAGTCTCGGACTTCGCGTCTGAGGCAAGAGCCCTTCTTGTTCGTCTTGTTGTACTTCTTCGACTCTTCAATGCGGGCCTTCTTCTGCTTCTGCACCTTCTCAGGCAAAACCCGATAAGCCTTGAACCGGGCGCTAAGCCGTCATCTACTACATGGCCTGGGTTGGGGTCCTACAGTCCTTAGGGCCCTCATGAAATGATCTGGAACCTGGCGCCCAAGCAGGACAGCCTGCACTAAATCGACAGAGAAAGGCCGGACTAAGACTGAAGCTACCACCAGCTCGACACGAACCGTCTGAGAATCCCAAAGCCATCCCTGTAAAGCCAGAGCCCTACTATGCCCTGCTATGCCCTGGTCCCTGAGATGTCCATTGAGGCCCCCGAAATGCTTGGCCTGGCCTCGTTGAATTCCGCAGTGCCCTTCTCGGAGCCTCGGCTGCAGGGCGTTGAATTGCGTTTCTGTCTGCTCACCTGGCCAGGACGATTTCAGCAACCTAACGCTCCGTAACCCAACACCCTGCAGACTCATCACAAAACCCTCCTGCTCCGAACTCCACAAAACCTGAAATACCCCATTGTGAACATCGAGCCTCCGCCACTCACACGACTCTCGGCCGCCGTTTCGTTCGTTCGGAAGATCACGACAAAATATTCCAACACTGTCCATGTAACTTGGCAGCTGCGGCGAAGTGCTGTATAGTGCTGCCTTTCCCCCTATGCCTTGCCAAAGTCTCGCCAGGGAGCTCTTGCCGGCCTTCGCCTTCCGCTCTTCGGAGCCTGCCGGGCGGAGCTTCAGGGTCCCGGAACTTGAGACGTCCCGGACCTGCAAGCCCGTGAAGTCCCAAGGGCGAAACCCATCCTAGCCGAACCTGAAAAGCGGAAAAGCGCTCCCTGCAAAGCCGACCTGGGTTCAGCTCCTCCATGACCTCCTTGCTCTTCAGGGCATTCCTGGACAGGCTTGAGGAGCGATCTCGTTGCAAGAGGGTGATTTCCCCGAGCTTTAAACGTCGGCGACCGAAGCAGGCAGGGTTGTGTAACAAGCTCCAGAGATCAGTTTCGGGCAGGTGTTGAGGACAGGTGTAGAGCGAGGGATGTGGCGAAGGCTGCCATAAGTCCTTTCCTAAAAGAGGCTTTACAACTTAACCTTTGACTCCTTTTTCCCATAAACCCAAGCACCTGAACGCAAACTCCCAACTGCGCCTCTTCTTGCTGAACGTGGGGGGCTCGATCTTCGGGCGGAGGACGGACTGCACCTGCAACCCGGCACCGCGAGCAAACTGAGAACCCTGTGTGAACCTTCTGTCTCAGACCTTCAACAAGGGGTCACACAACATGTCGGCTGGATATGATAAAACAAAAACTCTTCCAAGCACCTTGGCACACCGAAACCCCACTGCACCACAACCACCAAACTGCAAGAGAGGCAAAGCTTCTCGAAGGATTTTTGTGAGATTCAGCGTCAAACCCACCTCGGCACTGTTGATGATTCGGGCCAAGTCTGCATTGGCCATGGCAGCCCGCGGCAGGGTGTAGCCCTTCCTGAGGAGAGAGTGGTAGCACAGCGGCTGCCCTGAAGAATCGCCGGCCGAAGCACTCTTCACACCCCTGAGGTTTCCCAGCGTTTCGGTCTGACGCCAAGCAGCTTCATCGGAGCGCCGCCCTTCCGGGTGCCGTAGATGGCGGAGAGCCTGGTTTTGCAGTTCTGCCCGGTGGAGGCTTTCGAGCTGCAGACTCTTCCGTTGTGCCGACTAAGAATCTCAGGCGCTTCACAGGTTCCAGACTCGATACGGAATCTTTGCGCTAAACCCCCAAACCAGGATGTGCGCAGGAATGCGGGTCTCGGGAGCTGAACTGCTCGTCTTAAACTCAAAGCTTTCCTTCGCTATTCTGCAAGCCCTCGCAGCTCTGCCGCCAACACCTTGGGGAGGGACAGCTCTTGAGGCAGCAAACTACATCCCTTACCCTAAGCCCTAAGCGCCACTCCTGCGAACTCCAAACCCTCAAACGTTAACCCCCGTATTCCCCTTCAAACCAAAATTGGAACACAACGAGCGCCTCTTGAAGGCGCTCTCTGTGAAGATCAGGAAGCGGCCGAAGGCGCCGCCTTGTCGCAGAGGACGGGCGGCTTGCAAGGCTTGCAAGGCGCTTCAGAGATGCATTCTGGGGGCCATTCTGGGTTCTGGCATAAGCCCGGTCTCCGGGATTGGGCATGATTCGGCTTGGCTATCGAAGATTCGTAGTCTCAGGACTAAAGCGGAGGGTTGTCATGGAGACCCTCAAACAAAGCTTCGAGTCTTTAGACACGGTCAGTCTTGAAATTAGGCAAAAAACCCTCAACCCTGTAACCCTGTCACCCTGTCTGCTTCGTCACAGCTCCGGCCTGGAGCCAAACGCAGCAGATTCAGGCGATCCACCTAGAAAGGCTAGTGAAAGCAGCTGGCAGGTGCACAAACATCGGAGTCAGGATGCTGTCAGTGTCACCCCGAGCCCTGGAGTTCTAGGCTGTTACATGTCGGGGCACGGGGATGCGGGAATAATTGGAATGCGGAATGCAAGACAACAATCGAAACAGCTTCTCAAGGCTGGCAGTCTACATGGGCCGTCTCCACACCCGGGACGTTGCGCATGGCACGGACGATGCCATTGTCCTCCGAATCACAACATCAGGTCATGCAGAAGACACTTGGATTTTCCCATCTTACGAAAACGTCTGACGAATGACTTGCAGAGAGGAGGAGCCCTCTCTTTTCCCTCTTTAAAGAACAAAAGGAGTTCTGCCTGTCCTCGTTGTAGATGACCAAAGGTCCCAATCGCTTCACAAAGCGGCGATTCCTGGCCTTGCCCTTGCCTGAGAGGTATCAAGAGAGCAGGGACGTTAACGACTGGGAACATGAATGAAACTCCATGATGACCTGAACTTGCCAGTCATGCTTCCAAACAGGAAGGTCGCAATCGCGAAACACGAAAACGTGGCACACTAAACCCTCAACAGCTAGCTCTTCGACCAGAGTAGTCCCCTCCCTGGCATTTCTGCAACCCAGCGGCCGGCACGAATCTTCTTGGAGTCCAGGACCTGCCATCCAGCAAGGAGGTTTTCAAGCGCTGCATTGCCGCAGGAGGGATTGGAGCTCAGGCTCTCGGTCTGAAGGACGCCGAGCATGCCACTCACCCACACAGACACACAGACAGAGTTTCAAAGCTACAGTTTCCGTAGCACCAGCAAGGTCCTCACACAAAAAAACCCTTACAGTGAGACCTAAGAAGCCCCGAGACCTTCTGGAGCTCCTCGGCGCAACCGAGCTTCTTCAGGGACTCAACGGCCTTCGCGGATGTTGGTGTTCAGTTTAGGTTTAGGCCTCTCGGGACTTGGAGATTTAGATATATGGGTTCGGACTGCGCTTTGCTGTTCGAGGCCGCCGGTTGGGATTTCGAGGTGCGCGGGTCGGGAGTAGGTTTTGCCAAGTCTTCGCACACAAGCTGAACCGACACACGACCTGAACCCACAGCCAGCCGCACCCGTGATGAAGTTCCTCGATTCCTGTATGTTAGACCACATGTGTGGACCGCCTCTGCAAGTCCAAGACTTCAAAGCCCAATTGGCCAACACTACGAACTCGGCACGCCTGCTTGGTCTTCGTCACGGACTCGAGGCCTGGACTGGGTCAGGAGGCAATGGGGACCCCGGAACATCATGATCTGCTTTTGGAAGGTTCTCCTAGTCCTAAGGCCTGGGTGTTGAAATGATTGACTTCAACCGCAAACTACTTCCTGATCCCGCACACACCATACGAATTCAGGAGCCTCAACTCTGGGAACCCAACATTGGAGTTCCGATACGCAGAACTCCAAACCCCAAACCTGTCAAAAACAAATCGGACAGCCGTCACCGCAGATCCAAGCATAAATCACTATTAGAGAAAGGGTGGCGCTGCATTGAGACTGACTACTCCTTTTTAGCTACGAGTAGTATCCCTGCACTCGACTCGGAATTCCATCGCGTTCACGGATCACCTCTCCCGCCTCAGCCCCAGCAGAGCCAGAAGACTAAACACTAAAAGATATTCCGACAACCTCAAATAGCGAAAAGCGCCAGAAGTCTGAACGCCTGAATTCTTAGCCATACCGAGTGGCCGTCACTGACCACAAGAGGCAGCTCAGCGACCTGAAAGAGGACCGCACGCCAACAACGTTCAAGTGAAGCGTGTGTCTCGGAGCTTAAAACTTCAATGACCTCGGCGCATGATCCTGGTCTATATGCTGGAGCAGGAAGCTCAAAATGGACGGCGCCTTGAACCCGCTGGTAGTGTACATGTCATTCCAAAGATGGAGGAGCTCTTGGTATATATATATATATATATTATACACACACACACACTTCCTTAGATGCTGCATTCCAGAACTGGAACATGAGCGACCTGAACAAGGCGCTGGGAGCGGTAGCAGCCGCTCTCCTACCTTGTCCACTTGTCTCTCTCTCACTCTCTCTCTCTCTCTCTCTGTCTCTCTGTCTCTCTCTCGCTCTCTCTCTCTCTCTCTCCCTCTCCCTCTCCCTCCTCTATCTCTCATATTGAGCTCGGCGGCCTTTCCGATTTTGTGGCCGCGGGCCATGACCTCAAGGTTTCAAAGGCCGAGACACTTCGGGTTTATGGCAGAACTGCTTGTTGCCGCCGATTCCGTGCTGCCGGAGCAGGTTGGGGTTGGCTGTTTGTGTGAGACCTTAACCACGTGTTCTAGTGTTATGACCGCCCCTTTAGGCAGAGCTTTGGGGCTAGGAGGTGCATATTTTCCCAATGTGTGTTTTTTGCCTGTCTGCATATCTTGCCATGCTTGTTTACCATGCCAATATTTTCCCAATATTGGCCTGCATAGTTTACCAATCTTTGTGGGCTGCCCGAATATTTCCCCATATTTCCCCAATATTTTACCGATGTGTCTTCATGGTTTGATTCGTGGCCTTTGGAGACTTCTCAACTACGCATCCTGCATACCTAGCAAAGCCGGTTGCTATGTTGCTGGCTTGGGCCCTCTTAAAGCCTGCGGACGGTATCTGTCCGCAGCTTCGGTGGACCCTTGGAGCGAGCGTCATGAGCACGGGGGGAGGGGGATGACGGCCAGGAGCTCGGGGCGCAGAGCAGAGAGAGAGATGGGGAAATATGCAGAAAGGCGGGAGTAGAG